AATTTAATTAAATATTTATCTTAATTTAGTGACAACTAACCCCTCCCCCCAAACCAGCAAAAAATTTCTAGTTGCGCTACAGTCTTAAAGGAAAGGAAATATAAACGGAAAGAAAAATAAAGGAAAAGATTCTTACCAAAACATTTATTTTTTTCATTAATCTACATATTTAAAATAGTTTGTCAGCTTACTTTTAACTCGCGCATTTCATATCATTTTGAAAAAAAGATAAGACAGAAAGACTAGAAAGATGAGAAAAAAGATTGCAAGACAGAAAAATATTGCTCGCTAAAACCGGGTCTTGCTCGTTAAAAGCGACTTCTGTTCCATAGACTTAACATTGATCCAACCAAATATTCTCGTTTCCCTCGGTAAATCCAAGTTCTCGTTAAATCCGAGCTCGTTATAAACGAGTTCGACTGTATCATGTAATAATTGAATTTCATCCTCAACTATTTTTAAGTTACCGTCTTATACTATTTTATGTGCATAGTTCAAAAAGTAATTTTCACTCTTTATCAAAACAAGAGAAAAATGTGTAGTTTATAAATGATAATTAAAGGCATTCCATTAAACAATCTCCATGCATACATTATTACTAACATTTAACCTTGGCATGAATAGCAAAAAACATATTTGTCCAGTTTGAAGGTGAAAAAAAAAACAGCATTGAGATTAATTTTTCTTTCCTTTTGATTTCTACTCTATTGTTCTTCCCTCAATCCCTCAACAAAAATCTGAACATCTTTATACAATTTTTTTTAATAGTTTTCAAATCTTCTATTTCATATAAACTTTTTTTTAATTTTTATTTGTTATAAATTTATAAATATTTTCAAATGCAAAAATTTTTTTAAAACTATCTTTCTCTTCATTGGTTTTTCTCAGTTGAATTCTTTTTAAAAGTGATTCAATGGTCCTGCCATGACAGAAGTACCCGTCAAAATTCTTGTCCTGGTCTTAATTGATTAATAATTGACATTAATTAATGTTTTAATTTAGGTGCAGATGCATTTTATTATCCCAAAGTGGTCTGCCATGTTTACTTTCCTAAGGCAAAAGATGAGTGCGGTGGTGGTCTACTTGCATTGGATGGCAAAACAGGGAATGAAATTTGGAGACATTATTCAGCTCATGAATTGTTTGCAGTCAACTGTAACATTGATCTTAATGGAGATGATGTTAAAGATTGTTTAGGAGGAGGTCGCATGGCTGTGAGTACATCTCATTATGGTTTTTTATTTAAATATAAATTGTTATGATGGAATGTGTTATAACTCAATTTAAGTGTTCATATCGTTAGTTTTAAATTTTTTAAATAATTTGTTTCTCAGTTCCAACTAGGTCGAAGAAGATAACGAAGTATTTTAGCATATCCAATCCAACTCTTCTTCATAGTATTTGAAGACCTAGAGGGGGGGGGGAATGGTTTATGTCCATAAAAGGTAATTGGCAAAAAAAATTTTAAAAGTTTACAATTGCAAACAAAAAGCTTACAATTGATCACGTACAATTCAAATCATAAAAATATATCAGAATGTCACTGGCATTTATTTACACCTCCCAATAATTTCTGAACAAAACTTACAATTTTCGATGTTGTGGAAAAATGAAATTTAAAAATTTAGTTGGACAAGAAACGTTTTTTCCTTGAAATTCCTCTTCAATCAATACTTCCTCAGCTGAGCTCCTGTTGTTTTCTTTACTATACTTTTCTTTCTTGGCTGGCCTTGTCTACCCGAGGACTAAAATTGTTTTTTCCGCACTATAGCCCATCTTCGAAGTGTTCTCAAAACTCCGTGTGAAAACCAATTTCAGGTATTATTGATTTTATAACCGTTGTTGAACATCCGACCCAATTTTGGGTTTACGACTACTAATTTTCAACTCTGTAGCCTTGTAAGTAACAGAAGACAATGAAACTCTTGGATCAGTACCCCCAGAGGCATGATTTGTAATGGGAACATGGGGGACTTTGTGACGCAAAAGATTTAACGTGCATCACATTGTCATTTACTACACGGGGAGTCTTCGGCCGTCAGGGATCGAACCCACGACCTCTTGGACGTGGGTCCAGTGCTATCAACCAGGCTATCCCAGCCTTACGTTATTGATTTGTCAAAACTTACCAATCCTCGAAATGCAACAAATGGTGATTAATTTCTCATTTTTGTGAAAAAATTGACATCAAACCATTCTTTGCCTATAGTCTTCATTTATTAATATTTTTACAATTCAGTATTTCTTCCAACAAGACATTGATGCCAGCTGTTCTTTCTGTCTCTATACAAAAATATAATTTTATATAGTTGCATTGCATTCCCTTCTATTTTTTTAGTAAGTTTTGTATTTATTTCATGATATAATTTCAGGGCTTTGTTGCTGTTGATGGAAAAGATGGCTCACTTCTATGGGAATTTGATGATCAAAATGCAAAAATAGATGCTTCTAATGTGTATACACCCCAATACATTGATGATATAAATTATGATGGAATACCTGATCTTGTTGTTATACATGGGGGAGATCCTTTGAAAGATCCTGGTATATTTTCTTCTTGTTTTTTCAATTTTTATTTGCTGTATATTGTGTGAAAACATTATAACACTGTTTATTAATTTCTGTGTGTATTGTTTGTCCTGATTTACCAAACTCATATAATACCTGATGATATGTGGAGTTGGTACCGTAAGTGATGAAATTAGAGAATATGTAATATCTTTTTTTTAAATATGTTCACCTGTGTTATTAAAAAAGAAGTAAAAATAAAAAATATCAGGTACCAAGAAAGTGTAGTCTAAGCATTAATTTTATCATCTCATAATTTTTTGTATTCAATTCATATGTGGTATAAGTCTCTTTGTACTATCAAAATCAGCATGCTATTAAAATTGTAAAATTATGTGCTTCTCTTTTATCAAACTGAATAATTAATAAGCAGGAAATAATTAAATAAAAGCACTAGTTAGACTGGAGTCTAACTAGTGCTTTTAGTTAAGTTGGAGCATATATTTATTTCAATACTGGAAAAAAGAAACATCAATACAGATACTGAAAAAAGAAATTTCTATTTCTTAAAATTAAAAATGTTTAACCTGAAAAAAAAAGAACATGAATAATTAGACTGGAGTCTAACTAGTGCTTTTAGTTAAGTTGGAGCATATATTTATTTCAATACTGGAAAAAAGAAACATCAATACAGATACTGAAAAAAGAAATTTCTATTTCTTAAAATTAAAAATGTTTAACCTGAAAAAAAAAAGAACATGAATAAAGCCCAAATTAAGCAATGGAAATGGACAGATAGTTTCAGTAGTTCTATAAACAAGAACCTTCCTCAGAATCTAAGCACCAAATGGCAATAGAGAAGTAAAGACACAAACATGTGCAAAGTGGTTTAACCATTAAGGACAAAATAATAAAAGGAGGGAGATAAAAAACAGGAGTGAAAGGGTTTGGCCGGAACCCCAACATTCAAAAGATAAAATTATATTTATTCTAATATTGAGAAATGGTTAGATACTAGAAATATCATTAAGTGAATTATTAGAATTTTCCAAATTATGAAATGATTATAAGAAATCAAATTCAGTAGTGAAGGAGCAGTGTTGAATGACTTTAAGAGAAGAAAACTGAAACCTCTTATATAAATTCCAATTATGCAGTACAATAGAAGGCCAGTTAATTAGACATATCCAATTTTGAACATTGTCTGTCCTATTAACATTGACATGAAATTTGATAAATACCTGAGCTATGAATCTTTATAAGTATGTCCATTTTTGTACCTTCATTTGTGCTTTATTCACTTTTTTTTTCCTTCTTCTCTTTAATCTCTCGTTCCAAATGCATAATTTTATGAACAACTTTTATGGCTTATAAATACTATTTCAATTCTTTTTTTTTTCTGCAAATGTATAGAGGACTATAACAAATTGTGCTTACAATATTCTTTTATTGTTAAAAATTAATTTTTTGAACTGTTAAGTTACTTATATGGATGCTGTTGGCAGGAAAGACTGTGTATTTGTTTCATGAAATAAAAGCAATAATAATTAAAAATCTCAAGAAGTCTGTCCTGATAAATCTAATGTCCAAAAAAATCTAATGAATTATTGTTGATTTAAATTTAGCTACGTTGAAAACAAACCAGGTAAATTAATTATTTTGCATATAAATAACAGGTGGAAGAATTTTTCTTTTTCAAATGTAAAATTTTGATAGCTTTTGTAACTATGTTTTTTGATTTTGTGCTTGATCCTTTTGTTTGATTGTAACGATGTATTTTGATGTCTGTGCGGTTTATTGTTGCTTTTTCAAATCAAAAGATCTCTTACCAAGCATTGAGTCTAGAAGAAAACTGTTGGTGTTTGGGGATTCAACTAGATCTTACTTTGAATTGAGTTTATGATTAATATTTAAAAGTTTAATGAGCAAAAAAAATTTTTTTAATTTTGTCTCTGCTAAATTTAATTTTAACACTAATAACTGTATAATATTTTAATATCAGGCTCAAAGATTCATAATATTCTTGTTGTTTAAAACTTTTCAGAAATTTACTTGAAAATTAAAATAGTTAACATTTATTTTAACAACATTCATTGAGGGAATGTTGTCAACTTGATATTTTATTATTTAATAGTTAATACTAATTATGTAATATTACTTCTTTTGATAAAAAATTTTAAATTATGATAGTATTGCAGCCATATATTTTAATTTATTATATTTATAGTTATAAGTGCTGTCTTATCACTAGTTTGATTTAATTAGCAAAAATTAATTTGTTAGGAAGTGAAACTAGGCTTGTTGGTAGATTGTTAGTTGTCAGTGGAAAAACTGGGCGTGTTTTGAAATGGATTGAAGTTCCAGATGAAAGGGAAAGTTATTATTCTCCTCAAGTTTTAACACATCCTGATGGTATGACCCACTTATTTTTGTTTTTGTTTTTTTTGTTTAAAAATGTTTATTTATACTTTTTATTCATGATAACTTTAACCTTGTTGACATGCAATACTTAAAATTCACTATTAAAATTCTTTATTAAGTTGTAGTTGCAGNTAGGAAGTGAAACTAGGCTTGTTGGTAGATTGTTAGTTGTCAGTGGAAAAACTGGGCGTGTTTTGAAATGGATTGAAGTTCCAGATGAAAGGGAAAGTTATTATTCTCCTCAAGTTTTAACACATCCTGATGGTATGACCCACTTATTTTTGTTTTTTTTTTTTTGTTTAAAAAATGTTTATCTATACTTTTTATTCATGATAACTTTAACCTTGTTGACATGCAATATTTAAAATTCACTATTAAAATTTTAAGTTGTAGTTGAAGTGTCTTTTTTTTGAGGTTTGATCATTTAATACAGACTCTAACAAAATTCATATGCATTATAATATTTTAAATATTTAAAAAAAATATACTTCCTCTATTATTTACGGTTGCATTTTTATTAACTATATTAATGTAATTAAAATGATTTTTATTCGTTAAGTTTTGCAACGTAAACCTAAATTTTAAACTAATTTAAATAAAATTTGTTGTCTTTAAATATGAAAATTGTTTGTCGTAACAAATCTTGAAGTTTTTTTCTTCTTACAAATTTTATTTTTCTTTTAACTTAAAAGATCGGGATTAAGCTTGCTGAAGTTACAAGGATGAAACACATCTGCAACATTTTCAAGACAGTTATTTCAATTTGTTTATTGTTTTACATATTTAAAAAAGATACACTTTCAATAATATTTTTGGAAAAGTTTATATTGAAACTCATAAATATACGAAAGAAAAATTACGTTTTACTTAATTTTTGCAATCTTATAGCAGTATTTTCTATAAAAAAAAAGGTGTTCCATAATTTTTCCAGTTTTCATTCAATTTACTTAAACATTTGTCATTTTCACTTATTAATTTAGTACAAAATTAAACTGTTTTTTTTTAAACCTGCTTTTTTCAATTTGATTGGTTTTATAACTTTTTCAGTATTTATTAATTTTGTTTAAAAATATTTCATGTATTTTACTAATGTTGACAATTTTCATTATGCGTACGATTTTTTAGAATTTATTTGTTGATTATGTGATAAATATAACATTTAAAGCATTTTTCATTCAATATACCGCTATTTCATTAAAATAAATTTTATTAAAAACATTTCTTTTTGCAATAATTACTGTTTAAACAAAATGCTCTTGCATTTTTTTAAAACAAATTATAGGAAAATTGAAGAAGTTATTAAACACATGATTAGCAAATGTCATCATTAAGTTCTGGAGTATTTCCTTTAGTAACAGTTTAAATATTGTTACAACACATAGAATAATATCAAAAATAATTGTGTATTTTAATTAATGTATATAATTAATGTAATTGTATATTCTAATTACCGTATATTCCGGCGCATAACGCGACCCGACGTATAACGCGCACCTGTAATTTCTAATACTTTTTTTAAATTTTAAGATATACTCTGCCCAAATGTAATTTTCCAAAAGGTATTTTTATTCATGTCCACGAAAAAGGCTGGATGGACGAAAATGGTGTTAAATTGTGGGTAAAAATGTCTGGCAAATCTGTCCTAGTTGCGTAAGAAAACTAGAAAGCCTTTTAGTGTGGGACATGTTTAGGTCCCACCTTACAGATAATACAAAAAAATTGTTGAAGGAATGTAACACCGATATGGCAGTTATTCCGGGCGGAATGACACTATTAGCTCAGCCATTGGACGTATGCTTAAACAAACCATTTAAAGCCAATTTAAAAAAACAGTGGAACACTTGGATGTTGTAGGGCGAGAAAACCTTTACGAAAGGAGGACATATGCGTCATGCAAGTTTGGAAACACTGTGTGAATGGATATTAAAAGCATGGGATGAAATTAAGCCTGAGATGGTTAGAAAATCATTCAAAAAAATGCAGCATTTCAAATAATCTGGATGAATCAGAAGATGACTGTTGATTTATGGATGAGGGTAACACAGATGATGAAGACGAAACAGATTGTGAATAAGAACAGAAGACGAATATAATGAACTATTTATGTAATAACGAAAATCAATTAAGTATATAGGTAAAGGTATGTTATTTCTTTAAAATAAAAGTATTTTTCTATATTTAAATTTTTTTGATCTATAATCTTTTATATTCGGCGTACGCCGCGCACTCGTAAATTCCAATGTTATTTTTTGAATTAAAAGTGCGCGTTATACGCCNTGAAGACGAGGCAGATTGTGAATAAGAACAGAAGACGAATATAATGAACTATTTATGTAATAACGAAAATCAATAAAGTATATAGGTAAAGGTATGTTATTTCTTTAAAATAAAAGTATTCTTCTATATTTAAATTTTTTTGATCTATAATTTTTTATATTCGGCGTACATCGCGCACCCGTAAATTCCAATGTTATTTTTTTAATTAAAAGTGCGCGTTATATGCCGGAATATATGGTAATAGTCAAACCTTTCTTAGACATTCATATTGTTATTTCCTTTTAATTAATGTAATTTAGTATTAACTCCTTTTATACCAAATTAATACAATTTAGTAATTAATGTTGTTCTTTTCTTAATTAATATTGTTTTCATATTAATTTTAAATTAGGTGTAAGGATACTTTTATTTGGAACTGGTGGAGAAACACATGGAGGTTCTTTATGGATTTTAAAGTTAAATCATCTGCTTTCCGGTGAAATAAACATGGTGAGAATTGAGTTGTTATGACTGTGCTTATTATTAAAAAGTGTTAAAGAAATGCATTTATGTCTAAAATATGTTTTTTTTTTTGTTTTTGATGAATGTTCTGCTTTAAATTCTTCATTGATTAGTAATTGTACTGCCAATTAGCATTATCTTTCAAATTTTTTGCATTATTTGAGTAAACACAAACATCATGATTTCAAAGATATTCCCAGTAATCTTAAATTTTTTTCACATCAGAATGGGTTTATAGTACTGTTGAAGAATTAGGAATAAACTACTTATCTGTAGTTTGGACATTTTAAAAACCTTTAGATTTTTCCATGGTGCTAAGACATTTCTAGTTTGCATCAAGTGTAGTAAAGCAAAAGTCACTTTGCAACATCTGATTAACTGCATATACTTGGTACACCAAGACCTTCTGAAAAGACCGATGTATATTTTGGAAGTATTTAAGGTGAACAAACTCGTGTATCTGATCTGATTCAGATCAGAGGGATAAATATCATCATCAGAATTTAGAATTTAAATGGCATAATGCCCTCTACATTTAGCACAGTACAGACGATTCTGACTTGTGTTGTAAAACTCTGCATTAAACATAACACTATTGATCTTATTTTTAGTTTCAGGGTATAATTTCTTTTGCAACATTTACTAAAAACTCTATCTTAATGATCATTTTTCAATTATTTATTTTGTAAATATGTATGTAATAAAATGCTAAAAATTATGATATTATTGAAGAAAAAAACAAATCACAAATATGAACTTTAAAACTTTTTCAAGCATTAAACTTTTAAATAATTTAACTTTTCTTCAAAATATCTGAAGTGTTTTCTTATTGATTATTATTTTCTTTTTATCAAATATTATAATTTTTCTTATTTTAGGCTACTAAAATTTATACAGACAAATATAAAGGCATCATGACACCACCAGCCCTTGTTGACATTAATGGTGATGGTATATTAGATGTAGTTATGGCCATGTTCAACTCCTCCATTATTGCATTCAATGGCTTAACATTTGGTCGTTTGTGGGAATATCATGTACCATCATCTGAAAGTTACAGGTGTGTTTATTCCTTATTTATCTTATTATTTATTATCTTTGTTCCCTTCTTGTGTAAGCATAAGTTGTTGGTACTTCACTTTTAATTCAAGGTTATTGGAGTGAGAAACTCAAATGTTGTTGAAAAACTACTTTATTGTTTCAAAATCAACAAAACATTGTTAATCCAACATTTTATTACAAATTTTTTGACCAACAAGAGTAAATTTATGAATAAAAGTTTTTTTTTTAACGGAAAAGTGTATTGCCAGTGCTTAAAATAATGATAATTTAATCATTACAGATTATGTAAGTTAGGGAAAATACAATATGTCTTAGTTTTATTTTAAAATTAACATTCTTTTTTAACAATGCTTTTGTTAAGTAATATTAACCTTTCTTAAACCTGTTTCAAAGTCGGCCCGACTTAGCCTAATAGGGGCCCATGGCAAAAATTTCCTTGATAGACTCCATCTGCTTCACTACTTCAGTAATGAAGAAGCGAACTTTATGGGGGTAATTAAATTTTTCACCTCATTATTCATATGTAACAAGAAAATTGACTAGAACCTAAAATAGCTATAAAGTCCCCCCCCCCCTCCAGTGGTCAAATGAAATATTCTGTCCATTTTATTGATTTTCTGACAATTCTATGTCCATGTCGAATGGAATTTTCTAATTATTAACTTTGTCATCTAGCTGCAAAAAAATTCATATCCTTGCTGACATTAAGGCTAAATTTTTGCAATTACGATAGCTCAACTAAGCCAATCAGAAACCCATACTTTTGTAAACATATTGCATTTTGCGATATATAAATATACAGGCTTTTGACAGAATTGCAAAAATTAAGCTGAATACCACACTAGAAAGCCATGGATTTACGAAATATTGATTTTTTGTGTTCATACAATAGATTAATGAAGAAGCTAACGTAAAACTGATGAGTTTTACACTATACTGATATTTTGTTTAAAAAGTTAATTAAAGAAGGAAACCTGAAATAAACTTTCTATTCGATTTGGGGGGCCCTCTGATGTGGAACCCGGGGCACCTGCCTCGTGCACCCCTGCGTTTGTCGACTCTGAGTGGGGAATGTCACGACAGCCGCATGTATTTCTCCTTAATGCCTTCAGAACCTTTGGAGTCGGAGGAAAGTGAAGAGTTTAAAGGAACATGCTATAAAAACCTGTTCCCCCCCTCCCGAAATTCACTTACTCTCTGGCTGGTGATTAGAGAATAGGTTTAGGGACAGTTTAATTTTTTGCACTAAGTAAGTTTTCTTGTAAATGCTATTATTAAATTTAATGCTATTATTAAATTAAAAAAATTTTTTTTTCTTTATTCATTCTAACTGTGGCTTGTAAATTTATTTCAATGTATTAATTAGTTTTTATGTGTTAAATTAATTTAACTTGCAGCACACCACCACATGCCATACCAAGGTTATCTTTAGTTAATAGATAAATTGTAAATGGTGAACTGTTCATTTGCTTACATATGTTGACCGTTAGATTATCTTAGAAATATTTATGTTAACTTTTGAATGACTGGATCTTAAATTATTATTCTCAACTGAATATTATATTTGTTATACTCCAGTTTGCTATGCTCAAATATGTGTAAGTATTTTGTCTCTAAGTATGCCTTTTACTGAAAATCCTCATAATATTCTTAGATTTTTATGTTGTGACGTTTCTAAAAATAACTATATTTTAATTAGTGTAAAATGTTAAAAGTTATGGGCTTCAGATTTTTGTAGATTTATTTTGAAGCATTGCATGAATTATTTGGAAAATGTATTATTCCAGAAATAAACAGCTCTGATTATTTTTAGTACACCTGGAGTTGGATACTTCAACAATGACTCCATTCCTGATTTTATTATAAATTATCAAACTGGTCCAGGATTTCCAATTTATTACTATACTCAGGTAAAATAGTCTCTTTTTTTTTAGTTTAGGAAAGCTAATGTAGCATGTGATTAACCCTTTGATTGTGTTCTGCAGTTTTTATGATCAATAAAGATTATGAAACTTTTACACTTCTTATTTTGTTTCTGTATTTAAAACTTTCAAATTTATTTAATGTGCATTATCTTATCTGTCTATAAAATTTTATGAACATGCGTGTGAGCAACAGAATTTCTTGAAATCAAAATTAATTAACTGAAAAAAAATAAAAGAGTTAAAATCTTAAGTCAATAATATTGCTCTTTAGTTCCCTCAACAAAAACAAACAAACAAACACAATTGTCAACTGTTTCTTAGTAGAACAAAACCTTCTGAAAAGGTAAATAATGACTCACTTGTATTAAAATTGTGTTGGAAATAAAAAATACCCCATCAAAAATCAAATAATTTTATCAGGCATAGTTATAAAATTATATCCATGTTTTGCTACTTTGACATAATTTCTCTCAAGTAAATATTTTACAAAAAAGAAAATTCTTAATAGAAATTTATAAATTTAGATTTATTTTCTGTATTTGTGCTGCATTTTCAATTTTTTTAAATGTGTTTAAAAAGAATACATTAAAGTATTGAAAATACAGAAATTCATGAAATCTATAGAAATTTATAAATTTAGATTTGTTTTCTGTATTGGTGCTGCATTTTCTATTCTTTTAATGTGTTGAAAAAATTGATTTCAATGTTATTTCGTTTAAAAAATTGGGAAGTCATGGGAAAAATTAGCGTGAATATATTCAATTATTTTTTTGCATGGTGGTATTGTATTTACTTGTTTGTGTTTTCCGTTGTGTCTTGCAATTTATTTTTATTTCTTCACATTATCCTTAGTATTTTTGCATGCCTATAATGATTTATTATATATTTTTTATTTTAGTTTTATATTTGGTTTTGTCTTTTTTTACTTTCAGTTTAAATGTTGTCCAGTGATTGCATTCAGCACGGAAGTTAGATGAATGTGTGAGTTTAAGTAATTAATAAAGACTTAAAATTTTAAATTTTTTTTCTTCACTATTTTTATATTTGTTTTAAAAGTTAGATCAAATGATTAATATTATATTTATGATTTTAAATTTATTAATTTCTGATTCCTTTCCTAAATAATATGATATTTCATTTGTAAATTTTAGTAAATGGGAAAATCATTTCTTTTATATGAAAATAAGTTATGTAATTTGCTGATATGAGGTACTAACTGTTATGATTTATAGGTATTTATTACACTTTCATTGTCAAGATTATGTTCTTATGGTTGAGTTATAAAAATTGTGGTTTTTAAGAATTTCCCTAATAGTCTATTTAAAATAAGTTTTTTTACCCTTAACTACCAAGAGTTAAAAATTTTGTTGTTTGCAACTAATCTAATCCAACTTTTTTCTACTCCATGAACAATCTAATGAAATAAAAATGATTTGATAGAAACAAGAAGTAAAAAAAAAAAAAAAACTAAGAAATAAAAAATTTCTTCGTTATAGAAGAGCAAAAGAACCTGTACTCAAATCAGAAATGCTGCAAGCAAAAATTTTTAGTGGTTTAAATATAGGATGAGAAAAAAAATGTCTAGTTCTAATTTGACCAAAAACTGGAACAATAATTCCAAGTAATTAAATTTTATCATTTTATAATGAAAAAAAATTTCAGTGATGTATAATTTTTAATTTACAGTCAAACCCCGCTATAGTGAACACGGTTTATAGTGAACTCCCGGATATAGTGAACGAAATGTTCGGTCCCGTGTCTTGATATACAAGTATAATGTTATTTTTTGTGGATATAGTGAACCAAAAAAGTGAGGAAGTTGGACATAATGAATTTTTTTCTGTCTTCGACTGATTTTTTCCTTCATTTTTTTGTAATAATTTTAAAATTTCTACTTTAAAATAAATACATATATCGATTTTTGAAACCATCTATAGAGGGGAATGTAGCGATAAGCATTTTTTCTTGTTTGCTTCTTTTATCTCACTTTCCCATCCCTAAACAAACCAAGCAGATGTTTCCAACTCAAGCAGATGATGCATCTGTAAGGTGTCAGTGGGATCAATATGCATTTTCTGTCAGAGCGAATGAGTAATTATTCATTAATGGTCAGAGGGTTGGACACTAATATGTGTTGATAAGGCCCTCATTTCAGCTCCTTTTTGCTCTCAGTTCAGTTAAAAAAAGCCAGCAAACAAGTTTCTCAAATTTAATTGTGGCGAGCAGTAAACGTCGAAATGTTCTCCATTGATCAGAAAATTTAAAATAGATGCAATCAAGCTGATATTTGCAGGGAATATAAACTATTCAAATCTACAGTTTGTAACATATGGAAAAATAGGTAATTAAAAATTTCTGCTCATGAAAAAAATTTAGATGGCAGAAAAATGTTGAGAAAAGCAGATCACAAAGATTGTTGAAGAAGCATTACTGAAGTGGTTCAGCATTCGAAGAAGCCGCAATCTTCCAGTTTCTGGACAAATGTCGATGAATTTGCTAAGCGATTTTATGAGACTACTTTTATGTGCTCGAATGGAAGGTTAGACAGGTTTAAAAAGCGGAATAACAGAAATTCAGGAAAAATTATCTTAGAGTCAGGAAGTGTTTCCATATCTGATGTTGAGGATTGCTCATCAACTAAAGATTACAAATTTTATTTGTACGCGAGACGAAGGGTAATAAAAAATAACACATTTTTTGCTACTACGTAATATTTTTCAGTCACTTATTTGAATAATGTGAATAAAAGGGAGGAGTTTGGGAATCATTAGTTAAATTACCTCCGTAACGGATATAGTGAACTCCCGGTTATAGTGAACCGAAATTTCGGTCCCTTGAAGGTTCACTTTAGCGGGGTTTGACTGTATTACCTTTATCTAAGCGTTAATTTCTTTTTTGTTTAATAGTAAATTCATGCCTAATTTTACTATGTTCCTAGAAGTATACAGTACCTAGTATATACAGCTAAAAATTTCGCTAATTTGAATTTCGTAAACACTAACTGAACTGCATATATTTCCATGTTATTTTACTTCTGATTACTGACAGCTAGTTTGAAAAGTTGGCTTTTCTTAATTCATGGTATAAACATAAAATTTGTAATAGCATGAAAAACATAATTAGCTATAAGAAATATTTTAAATTATCTAGCAGCCTTTTAAAAAATCGAATGCAATTTAAATATTTTCAGTAAGAAAACATGCTTATATGTTAACAATTGCACGAGTAGAATAGTTGAATGTAAAAAAAAAATTATTAGTTTGATTTTACAATGTTTTTGTTATTTACATATTTGTTTGATAAATAGTGTACTTGTATGAAAAAAGTCTTATTTTATTTATTCCATTATTGTTAAAATTTCATTTAGTTAATTAACATCAATTCTGAGTCATTAATTTCGAATTTCTCTGGGTTTTTTAATAATATTTCTTATAATTATTATTAAATAATCAATAAAATTTGGTATGCAGGGGATCCCCATATATACATTTCAATTATGAAAATATAAATGTATTATTCTTACAAAGGGTAATTTTTTTAGTTGAGTAAAATAATAACTTTCATTATTAGTATTAATCTCAAATTAAAAAAAAAAGACTTTTAAAACACATCATGAATGATTTTTTTATGAATTTACTTTATTTTTTATTCAATTTTTAGATTTAACTTTTGCACAATAATTGATTGCATTGTTTTTAATATATTTACTCGGCTCAGGAGATTTACCTTCTTCAGATAAATACACTTTCCCCAAACCTGTGGTGTTCTAACTGCTTCTCCTTTTTAATTCCTCACTCTTTTTCTTTAGTTCTTGCACCAAACGTTACATAGTTTATAGTACTATACTATTTGACCAAAAGTATAATGCACCTACTTGAATCATCATAGTGTGGGGGTATTTTTGGTCTGTGTCCCTAAAGTTCTAAAACATGAACTCTGAAACGTTCATGGACATTCTGCCCTCCCAACTCAATGATTTTAACTATCTCCATGGTGGTAACTAATATTTTGGGAAAGATCTTTTCTCTTCTACCAGGTCTATTTTTTTTCTGCACCATTCACACACTAAGACTCACACAGCTGTGTTTTTTTTTTTTTTTTTTTTTTTTTTTTTTTTTTTTTTTTNTTTTTTTTTTTTTTTTTTTTTTGCATAACCTTTGTTGAACAGCCGACCAAATTTTCAGTTTATTGCTACCATTGTTCAACTCCGTAGCTTTGTAATTTTGAACCCAGTCCAGAAGACAAAGGAACTCCTGGATCAAGTATTGGGAGAAATTTGCCTTCATGGAGGACTTTTTGATGGAACTAACCCTCATTGGCATTACATGTAGTGGAAAACCACAAAACCTCCCACAGTTAGCCTGATGGTAAGGGAACTCTAACCCGTGAACCGTCTACCACAGAGGATATCTTACGTGAGCACTGTGGTTGATCCGAGCCGGGGGCTGAATTCGTTAGTAGTAAGCAATGAGTGGATCCGTCCCACCCGAAAAGGGTATCGGTAAATTTTGACCCGTCGGATAATCTCTAAGGAAGGAACCCATGCCAGCACTACAGCCAAGCGACTAAGCTGGGACACCATTAAGGGGACTCTAACCCATGATCTGTCTACCACTGAGGATATTTTACGTCAGCACTGTGGTTGGTGTGAGCCGGGTGCGAAATTCGAATAAACCAGCCTTCGTAGGGATTCAAACCCGGTTCACCTTATTGGGAGGTGAGCTCTCTATCCCAAATGGGTTTTATAAAATTTGATGTGCTTTCGTAAAGCCTCAATCTAAATTTCATAAAACACTTTTAGAGCAAATAAGAGAGCTAAATTGACCGTCCACCAACACTCCCTTTTTCTTTGAAGTAAATTCCTATGACCATAGCCATCTATCAAAAACTGATGGAAGTTTCCAACAGATACGTGCAGATTGTCATCCATGCAAAAGGGAAACCAACATCATATTAACATATGCCTCGTGACTCTCCAAGTTTGTACCACTGGGTATCTGGATACATTTAGTCAGATGGTGTATAAGATTATTCTCCTGCGAGTACCTAATAACGTAAATTTTCTTATTTATATTTGTTATAGCATGTTTGCATCTGACTGGATTTAATACTTTGGTATCAAATGTATATAACACTTTATTTTTAAGTCTTTAGCAACAGCTTTAAGCAGAGTGTGTAGCTTTTTAAAAAATGCTTAAAGGTGCTTATTTTTGATTTCCGATTTTTAAAAGCCTTTAAAGGTGCTTTATCCATAGGGTCTTTTTAAAAAGTGCTTTATTTTCTCTTTACCAAAATGAGATATTTTTTCTTTACCATATTTATTTTCACCACAAATTATGTAAAATGACATTATTCTATTCAACGTTTTTAACAATTAATTCAACCTCAATCTATTTGGGTGCATGGTTGGTCCATAGCGTATGAAAACGCCATTTGTTTTATATGTTTGATGAAATACTTGCAGGACCGCATGTGCGTATACAGAACAGTATTCAGTGGGAGGGATTTTTGCCTTCTCATGTGCAACTCTGCTACATTCTCAATTTCTGAATTCAATTAATTTTGAATTGATAATTTAAAGTACATCATATTTATAATAGGGGATAATTATCCTTATGCTAAAATTTTGGGGTTTTGGCAATTGACAAGAACTATGTCAAAAGGGTCATTTTGACATGACGGATAAAGTCACCTATTGTCCCCAACTTGTCAACTCTGCCTAATTATGATAATTTTTAAAGTGCTTACAAAAAATTTTTGAGGGCTTGAAAAGTGCTGAAAAGGTGCTTATTTTTTGTCAAAAAATTTGGCTATGCATCCTGTTAAAGGAATAAGCAATATTATGTGTGGTTTCTTTTTATGCAGTGTGGTTCACAGATACATGTCAAAAAGTAGAGGGGACCTGAATAGGCATATTTCATTGAGTATTGTGTGGGCTGAAATGCCAGTTAATTCAATAGAGAGCACTGTTGTTTACTAATGCCCACTGCTGTGAATCTTATATCAATGTTGGTGATCGCTCATTCGAGCAGCTATTATAAACTGTAATTTTTGTAAATAGTTTGATTGTTAGCTATTGTAAACTGTTCATAAATCATTGCTTTCTTTTGTCTTAACTTGCATTATTACTTATGATTAATGCTGTATTTTCCCATTTACATTCTTATACAAAATCAAAGAGTTTACAATAGCTGCTCGAAAGAGCAATAAACAACAGGAATATTAGAAACTCAGTGGCGCATGGATAACAGCGGAGATGGTAAACAACTCCATGGGCTCAACACAGTATTTCTGCACGCACATTTCTATGTAAAATATGTTTATTTGGGTCCCCCTCTACCTACCTTTACATTTTTGACCTATATTTTTGAACCACCCTGTACATTATTATGGATAGTAAACAAAATGTTTTTGCTAAAAAAAACTATTATATCAATGAAATTTTTATTTCTTTTTAGACCACTATACTTGATGGAAAAAATGGTAAACCCCTTTTATCAAAGCCCATAAAAATGGTTGTAGGTACTCAATCATCTCCACTTGTAATAAGTGTATCAGGAAAGGGAAACGATATCTTTTTATACTGGACATCTGATTGCCATGGGTCACAAAATAAATCTGAATTGCAGTTTGATTTTGTTAAAGGTTTGAACACTTGAGATATTATTTACTTAATTGAAATAATTTTGTATGAAAATTAAACCGATTATAATACTTTAGTTAAAGGTTTGAACACTTGAGATATTATTTACTTAATTAAAATAGTTTTGTATGAAAATTAAACCGGTTATAATATTTTAGTTTTCTGGTATCTTATTTTTTGGTTTAGTTGATTTAATTCTTAATGTGTTATGACTTTAATCAAATTCACTAAGGGAATTTTCTCAAATGCATTGTTCATAAAAACATGTAAATATTTTGTTTATAATATAGAGAAAAGCTATACTAAAAATCGGCTTGATTTAAAATCAGAAACACGGCAGAAATTCTTTTAATATCTTAAATATTATCAGTTAGGACATCTTATCTGTTTTATTTGGTACTAATGCAATTTATAAATTAGTTATTAATAACATTATATTTATTGAGTAGAATTAGATTTCTTACTAACATTTACTATAACATTTTTCTTAAAATCTTCTATTATTTTTGAATAGTTTCTAAATCTTTTAATTTGAAATGTTTTCTAATTATTATCAGCAAAATTTACCCTTTAGTGTTGTTTTATAAGTGTACATTCTGTGCAAATGTTTTTCTCCTATTTATTTTCTCTATGCAGTATCATGATAGGATTAACTGTCTAAAAGTATAATATGTGTTTTTTATTAGAAGTGGTATTATTTCTATGTAGGCATAACGATTCATTCTTCAAAAAATTTCACTAGCTTTATATAAAGTTAAAGTGATTTTTAAAAAGCTTCATTTGAAAAAAAAGAAAAAAATTATTGAAATTTTTTTTTCCAACTTACTAAAAAATGTTTTCAAAATAACCCTTTGAAATGTGTCAAAAATTTAATCAGTGTGAGAAATTATGGAAATTAAACACTTCGAAAATGAAATAGAAAATCCATATTTTGAATTTATATTTGAAAAAAAAATATTTAAAATTAAATTTGGATTGCTGAAACTGAACAGTTAACCTGAACCGTTATATTGAGCACTGTTTTTAACCTGATTTTAAAACATGTTTCTCTGAACCAAGCATTTTCAAAAAACCAGACTCAGAAAAGAATTTTAAAAAAATTTTCTCATTGTATTTCTAGTATTGCTAAATATTTACATTGAATTGATATTTATTGCATTTTTTTTTTTTNTTTTTATTGCATTGTTTTTTTTTTTATAGGAACAAGTGTGCATGATCAGTCAAGAGCTGATTTTTGTAAACTAAGATTTAAAGACAAACTTTTTACAAAGATGTACGCCCTCTCAAATCATATTCCAACACCAGGAAAAGTAATATATGATTCAGGTAAATGGAATACTAAAATATATATTTTTTAAATTATAAAATTTAATACTACTCTATTTATACAGTAGAACCCACATTATCCGACACTCAATTCTTTGGTTGATTTGACTTTTTTGATAGATGTTAACTGAAGCATGTTTCATCATTATTACAGTTGATGTTACCCAATTATTGATTCATTTTTGGACCCTTCTTATTGTGCCACCAAACCCTAGATTTAATTCAATTCAGCTAGAAAGCTATAAAACGAAACAGTTAGAAAATTCACCTGACTGTTAGAAAAGAAAAATAGAGATATTTAAGCTTGTGCACGTAAAATATAAAGTTTATCAATGATCAATCAGTTACTAGGAGTGACCAATTAGAATAGGTGTCATTTCAAAATAAAATAATGCAAACAACTAATTGCCATTAACAACCACGATATTCTGGCATTTGAGTGATTAATAATGGTCAAGTGATATAGTTAAGTAAAACACAAGTGAGGGTTTTATTAAACTTTATTTTAGTCACTAATAGTTTTGAGTAGTCTCATAGTTGAATGTTTATAAACTCACAAAATTGTTTTAAAAAGTTCCTCCAGTTATCCAACAATTACGATTTTCCAATGTACCCCCAGTCCTTTGGCTGTTGGATAATAGGGGTTCTGCTGTACTATCTAGAATATACATATTTGGTGGGCTGTAATAAGAGTTTTAAAAATAGCTAAAAGATAAACTAAATGATAGTTGTAATTATAATAAAATTTAATGCTATGGTATTATTACTGAATGTTATGAATATGCATACTTTAAGAGCTGTATTATGAGCAAAAAGAGGAGAAAATGTATTATTCTAACCTCGAAATAAGCTGAACAATTTTCATCATATTTTGAACGTGGAATTTTTTTCTTCTTTCAGATTTGAGTGGTAATTCTGCATGAGAAAAGAATGACTTTTATAAAAATCAAATAACTTTAATAATTAGTATATAAAATTCAGAGATTATCAGAGCTTGTTCTAGTGTCTTTATTAGAAAACAGTGCTATTTTTAATCTAATTTTGATTAAAAATAACACTGTTCTTTTGATAACTTGCTATAGAAGTGCATTTTTATTTTATATATTTTACTCATTTTGATTGCAAGCAACCTTAAACTAACTCATAAAATTTATATTGCATCTAGATTTAGAACAATTTTAAAATGACAAAAATTTTTATCTTTTTATACAATTTGTATAGAATTCATTATAGATTAATAACTAAAATTTAATGAAGAAAAAAAAACTTTCTTTAAAAATTTTAAGATTAGTACTACCCATCAGGTTGCTTTTTAGCTTTAGGTAAAGCTTGAGAACAAAGTAAAAGGTACTCCTGGTTATGATATATGCCTAATTATTCAGACTGAGCAGAATGTGGGGGGGGGGATAAGCTTTCTTGGGGATCATTGATAGAAAATGCTGGCCTTCTTCCTCAATTAACTAATTTAGCTAATGGATAATGGATACACAGATAACACCAGGGTACAATGTCTTTTTCTTTCTGTTGTATGAGATTTTTTAATTTTGATACTTTTGTATTGCTGATTTCAAACCTGCAGTCAGTTTCTCTCTGGCTGCTGCAGTTTTTTTTTTAAAACTGACTGACAGTGAACTGCTTCTTCATGTGACTAAAAAATTCCTCAAAGGGAAGTTGCATATGACTCCTAGTTGCATATGACAGGCATGGGTTTCTATACAATTATTTTAATCCTGATAATGGTCCCCTAGAAGCTACATTTATGCAACCCCCTGTTGTATATAATTTTTCTAAATTTCGACAAAAAATAGACTAAAAGTGGAATTTTAAAAAAATATCTAGCTTTTAGAGCAAAGCTAATTTCAGATTTAAAATTCCCACTCCTGAATTAAGCAAGATCAAATATTTTTATGCATGCAACAAAAATTTTGTTTCCCAGTGTAATCGGTAATATGGAAACCAAATTCAGTTATTTTTTATATTATATAGTTCTTTATTCAGATAATATTCAGATAATTGCAAATATAATCATTTTCAAATGATTTAAGCTTTTTTTGTCTCATTTTTGTAGACCTCAGGAAAGCGATCGAATACAGCAATCCTATAAACTATTCGGCACTAGGTTTAGAATTTCTCTACAGACATCCAGGTTATCAGGAAGATTATCAACTCTATCTGGAAAGTGAAAACCCTGAATTTGACAACAGAATCCTCCAACAGGACTTTTCTGATCTGCCCAATCGATACGATGATGTGCAGCTTGAAAAATTGCTCAGTGGCAATGAAAGAGCAATAGGAAGAAAATACTCTGAACCTAATGATTACAACTTGCCTGATGAAGCTCAGCTCTTTCCCCAATATTACATGCAACAACCTAGCAGTGGCAGCGAACGTTATTATCCTCTTGAATACAGACAAGTGCCAGATCAGTTTGCTGTGGTGAAGAAACCAAAACCCAGAAGAATGAATGTAGCATGGCCTAATCAATATCTTACATTAGCTCACAACAGGCCTAATTACGGTAGTAGCCGCATTCCGTTGAATCGTGGAAAACGGCAGCTGTTTTCAAGGGTTAGAAAAGATTACCACCGTAAAGCAACAGGTAATTTTTATTAATGTCTCGTAAAAGAAATACAAACTGCTTTAACATTTTTTGTTAAGTTAAATAACTAAGGTAATAACCAATAAAATTTATTGGCTTCATTTTTAAAGTGATCGTAATTATTGTAAGGCTTTTGTGCATTGTTTTTTGTATTATTAACATATTGAATTTTTCTTGAAAGTATCTTTTAAAATCACGCAATAATAGAAAGATTAGGTGTTTGATCGGCCTTGCAAAATGAAATTTTTACTACTTATGCAAAAACATATTATGCACCAAATGTAAAATAAGTTACTTTAAAACCGTAAGTTATCGCGTAAAATTCCTGAAAGTTTTAAGATTTATCCTAAGTGTGATAACTAGTACAAATTTTACTTTATATTTTGTAACGGGCATTGAATATCCGACCGAATTCTTAGTTTATGACTGTAAATGTTCAACTCCATAGCCTTGAGATTTTGAACCTAATCCAGAAGAAAAGGTAACTCTGAATGAAACGTTGGGACAAACTAGCCTTTGTGGAAGATGTTACATAGAAAGGAAAACCAGAGAAACCTCCCACAGTTAGCTTGATGGCAAGGGGGATTCCAACCCATATTTTGATTCGAAACTGGGTCATCTCATTAAGACACAATGCTCTATCCCCTTTCAAAACCTCAACTCAACCATAATTATACAGCCAATATTTGTAACATTTGTTATATGTTTAGGAATTGCTTGTTTCTTTAACATTATTATGCAAAGGTTTTCAATTGAGACTTTTGAGTTTTAATTTATTATGATTAGTTGAGAAAGGCTCAAATCTGTGCGTGGTTAAAAATGTTATCATTCAAATGTGAGAGTTGTAAATTACATAAATATAAATTTCAACAAGTAAAGTTTTAGGAAATCTATAACACACTTATATGATTTGTTTCAATTTGCGTAGAGTTTTTGTATCCTAAACGAAAAGATTAAAATTCATACTTTTCTCTTCATATTCTTTAATATATTACATTAAAATTCATAATTGAATAAGATATCCATTACAATACAATCGAAAAAATTCATAGTTTTGTGTCGTAATTACAACAACAAAACTTTGAATTTGAACTCAAATATTGAACTAACATATATTTAAAATGATGCATATACTGAACTAACATATACTTATAATGAACTAACATATAAACTTACATATTTGAACTAACTTTTAACTTACATATTTGAATTTGTAAACTTTAATCATGCTACCAACTCTAACACTCTTTAAGGGCTTAAAAATGAAAACTCTTTGCTTATTTGTTATTATTACTTTCTATAAAATGAAATCTCTTTGCTGTAAATGTATTTATGTTTTTATTCATATTTTTATTACCCAATTTTGAAGAAAGTAATTTTTAAAAAATTAATGTTTTATTAATTTTTTTTTCCATATGAATTGGTGAAAAAAGTTATGCCATTAATAGTATTTTACAGTTTGTCTTTTTGGTTTTGTTTGAAGATTTGTGAAATCTTTATGTTACATTTCCTAACAGCTTCGAGTAGAAAACGTCGACATGTTGGACCTCATGATGGAGGAGGTATACAGCGAATTATATCTACAGGTATTCCATTTAAGTATATTGCTCAACATAGTAACAAAAATTCACAAATTAAAAATAGTTTTTTGATACATTATTGTTCATTCACAAACAATATTTTAAAGATTGCTATACTTTTTTCTTAGTATGTCATTCAACATTGTATTTACTGTTCATAAATTCAAAATATTTTACTAACAGTTTTGCTGCATTACTTTTCGTTCATAAACAATATTTTTTTAAAGGTTTCGATACTTTTCTCTAAGCATATTATTCGGCATTATATTTAATGTACACAAATTCATAAAACACCTTTATTTATGGTTCTTTATTGACAAACAGTATTTTAAAGGTTGCTACAGTTTTTTCTGTATGCACTTATAGTGACTGTATAAATATTGTGTATGCATGTTTTTGGTCTTTCTGTCAAAAAATATGCAAATCCTTATCCCTCTTAGGTGCTTACATATTTGAATATTTAAGATAAATCATATTTATTTTTAAACACTTTTGAATTGTTTGTTATTTTAGATTATCTTTGTAATGAAATAAATGAGAAAAAAAAGAAGGAAAAATATTACACATAAAAGAAATTTGGAGCATAAAACCTTTTCATGTTATAGATTAACATAATCCCTTAGTGATGAGTTTGAAAGTTAAGAAAAGGCACATCTGAGTATGTAATGTGGAAAATAACAGAGTTAGATTCAAGAAACATCTACAGTTTGTTTTGTGTTTCTTCATTCTGGGTTTCAATACCGTAGGCAGTTCTAATTCAATTTAGCAATTAATGCTTTCTTTTCATGCAGCTTTCTGTTTTGTTAAATGAATATGTGTGTGGTAAAATGATTCTGAATAGTCATATAAATTTAGAATTTCTTAGATTAAACATCTGTTGTTGAATATTAATCTACCCAATAATGAAAATGGCTAAAAATTTCCGATTTGCAAACAATTTAAGTAGGTAACTAAAATTTATAATCAGTTTAGATTTTTGAAATAATGAAATTTTCACTTAAATGTGATGTTTATGTGGTAGTATTTATTTATTGTTATTTTTTTTTCATAAAATAGTAATTGTAGTCAGGGTTGGGTTTTTGCTGTCAAAAACTGGTTTTTGACATGACAGTGGTAAAAACCGTCAAAAACCTACTGTTTTCTTTAATTTATGGCATATAGCGGACAATATATTATTTTCACTTAATTGCCTTTATAAATTAATGTTGTAAATGATTGCTATTGATTTTGCAACTATATACACATATTCTTATAGAAGGATATACATTCATACAGAAATATTGTAACATACTTATTGAAAATAGTGATACTTAACTTTTATCATTATAGCTTGATTTGCAAAGGATTCAAAATTTTGCACTTCTTAATTGTTAGAAATAAACAAACAAACAAAAAAACTTGGAACTATTAATAAAGTCAAGAACTAAAAAGAAGAATTTAAAATTTGGCATTTCTTAAATATTAGAAATAAGCTAAACAAAACTTTCAAAACTTGTAACTACTAACAAACTCTAAGTCAGGAATGACTTGGCATTCTTCAGTAATGTAATATGCCAAACAAAATGATGCTTGGAAATGTTGAAAATTTTGTTTAGTATCCTAATATTTTACTTCAAATAGTATGTTTTGATATAAACATGTTGGGAAAATGCTAGAATCTGTTCTTTAATATCTTTTAACAGCTTTTTTTCTAATTTTATTGCCCAAAAATGAATTAATTTTGAATCATAAGCAGTTAAACTCAAATAAAAATACAGTTTTATCAAAACTATGGGTTTTTGACACGACGGTAAAAACCATGGTATAAGCGGGTAAAAACCGTCATGTGTCAAAAACATGCCAACCCTGATTGTAGTTTTGTAAATATAATTTTGCGAAAAGCAAAAAGAAATTTCATTCTCAACTGTAATTAATGAGTAAGAATATTAAATTTAATGTAATTTTAATATTTTTTTCTTTTTAATAATTTTCTATAACATTTTGAAGTAAGAAAAATATCTAACTAAGATTTATTGTTTAAAGGTACATTAGCACCCAGCCTAAAAAAAGGTGGCATGGATATTGTTTTTGCCACTTTCTGGTTTTATCCATCAGAAACACAAGGTCTTTTACCTGAAGACAAAGAATGTATTGAATCCAGAATGAAAATGGAGCAAGAAAGATTTGACCCTTCAAGTAAATATATTTAATGATCATATCACAAAATTTTATTTCATCAAGGTAAATTATACATGAATCTAAGTGTTATGTCATCACCTATACTTTTAATATCCATAATAATAGTAGGTTTTATAACCGTCGATGAACAGCCAATCCAATTTTTTGGGTTTACGATTACTAATATTCAACTCCGTAGCCTTGTAATTTTGAGCCTAATCCAGAAGACAAGGGATCTCTTTGAGCAAGCATTGGGAGAAATTTTGCCTTCGTGGTAGACTTTTTTAATGGAATGAACCTTCATGTGCATTACATGGAGGGGGAAACCACGTGAGCTTCCTATGGGCAGCCTGATGGCGGGGGGACTCTAGCCCAGGATCCGTCTACGACTGAGGATATTTGATCTCTGCAATGTGGTCGGTGCTAGCCTATGGTGAAATTCATATTGACCAGCCATCACTGGGATTCGAACCTGGTTCACCTCATTGGAAAGCGAACGCTCTATACCCTGAGCTACCACGGCTCCAAATAATAGTAGGTTGTGATATTGAAACTTTTAAAATAAGAAAAATTAGGCACTTATGAAATTGACTTGAGTATGGATGAGTTCAGCTTGTAAGGGCCATCTTCACCAAACAATATTTTTCACACTCAAAGGAATGTGTGATATATGGGTATGTGTATTACTATTGAAGTTTCAATTTAACATAGATTTCTTTTATTGCTACTACATGATAATCTGAGTACCAGCTTGTCTGGGAAGTGAAGGTGGTTGGTGGGCAAGGCTTACTACATTGCCACTTATATATACATACTTATTTTTTATATGCAGCCTTTCATCCCTTCAGCGGGTCGATAAAAGAGTGCCAAGCAGGCTTGGGAACTAAACACTGGAGGTTCCGCGTTCAGTTGACCACCCAAACGGAACATCAGCTCCTGCACCCCAAGGGATGGGCACATTGGGCCTTGGTTCTCTATGGGCTGTTGTGCCACTGAGTTTAGTTCAGTTATTTTTTATATGTATGCATATTTATATATAAAACTTAAACGGTCTCCTAAAAACAAAAAAAATTTGCCCCCCCCCTTTTGCTTCGCCTATGCCCGACGTAATTATTGATCATTTTTCCAACGCTTATGAATTTCAACCTATATTTTAGTACAATGTTCTTACATGAAACTAATTTTTTCTTACATAAAATTTTCAAAAAAGAAAATTAGTTTTTTGAAAATTTCACTGTGATATTCCTCTTTAAAATAATTGCATTATTCATAAGAAAAATTTAAAAGTTTTATCTGCTTTTTATTGTAGAGTTAAGTTACCCTAAAGTACAGTACATGGTCTAATCAGATGGGAAAATATATTTTTGTCTTTTAATGGCATATATTTTTGTCCCAATTTGATCTGCAGTATAAAGCTCATTTTCATTATGAAAATAAGCTTCATTGTTTATACATTCTTATTCAACCATTTGCCTAGCTGAAGTACATACTAGTTTTTTTTTAAAAACTTAATGTTTTGTTGGTACAATAAGGTACCTGGATTAATATAAATAAATATTGTTTTTATTTATTATGCTTCAGTTATAATGGTATTGTAAGTAATATACAGATAAAAGTTAAATTCACCTTATTACTAACTTTTATATTTAATATTTTCAAATAAGTTGGAGTAAAGCATGTTAGAAAGGCCTTTTAAAAGAAAAATGATAGTGTTTTAAAATCACTAAAAAAATGTTTTCATTTATTTAAAGGTGGCCTATATGGTATGGATCATGATGCTTATGAAGAATATGTGACTGATCATTGTTTACAGAAGAATGGCAACCTGCGCACCACATCGAAGAAAAAAGGTTACAATCCTTTTAATCGCCCCATGGGACAAATGACTGTTTACCGCGTGCACATTGATTGTAAATGCACACAAGCAACCAAAAAAACTAAATGTGCTAAAATTTTGCCATTTGAAAAGCAAATGTGGACATCATACATGGGTCTTTATGGGAATAGTGTGGCAAATCAGATTCCTGTTATGTAAATGTTAAAATTGTTACTGTTGGGTCATATGTACATAAAATTCTGTATATTAATCTGAATATATTTAAAATTATTGTTTCATGACTTGATGTTGAATTCCTGTTATAACTTGCATACATTTATACAGGGTGTGTAGCCAGATTTTTCAACAAAAAATAAGCATCTTTTAAGCACTCAAAAAATATTTTAACCACTTTCCAAAAAAAATTATAATTAGGATCTATGCAGTAATAAAAATTATTTTTTTCTATTATTTAAAGTTCCTAATTTATAAACATAAAATCAGTAAAATTCAAAAATATTTTCAAAAATTTTACATAATCATGATAAAATAACTAGCTTCTGATAAATATTGCAGAGAAAATTGTGAAAATCGTACATCTTTTGTAACTTATAATGACAATCGACACGACAAAGAAAAAAAACCCCTCTTTTTTAAAGATAGAAAATTAAGCACTATTTACAAACCCCTTATAAAAAAAACACCTTTTAAACACTTTTTAAAAACGCTGCACACCCTGTTATAATTGTAAAGCAGATTCTATTACACTTTAGCTGCTTATTACCCAATAAATTTAACAAATTAGCAGTTTGATAAAATTATCTAAATGAAAGTGATTTTTGAATATTTCATAGAAACCTTTAATGTGAATAACACAATAAAAACGACAACACAATAAAAAAGGTACTACTTTTTAGACCCACTGGAAAAAGAAAGCGGGAAGGCCGCGGTTGAGATGATCTGACTCAGTGGAGTCTGATTTTCTCGCAATTAATGAAAAGAATTGGAGAAATCTTCAGAGAAATCGTCATGGAGAAATCTTCAGAGGAAGGCATTGGCTCAAATTGGGATGTCTGGCCAACTATGATGATTATTATTATTTTGGCAATTTAAGTTTTTTGTTTCAAATTATTTTTTGCTTTCCTCAGTTACTCCTGAGAATGGGCACCTATTTTTAAACACTCAAAAAATTATGAATTTTTCTACCTTTATAATTTTTAACGCAGATAATTTTATATTATCAATTATGAACATAAGCAATAGAGGAGTAAAAAAAAAATTAAGATTAGGATAAATCTTATATTTAGGTATAAAATTGCTACATTTAATAACTCTCTTGTATAGCAAAAAAAAGATGGGGATTTTTCTTTTAAAGTGAAAGGGATATATAATTATTTTGAAAAGATTCTAATCCTGCATTATATTTGGCTTAAGGATTTAGGGTAATAGAGTTGAGCAAATAAAGAAGAGCATTTAAAGCAAAGTTGCTGCAAAAAAAAAAAAAGTTTTTATATTAAATTAGTTTTTTTCATTGGTTTCTTTAAAGCAAAGGGATATATAATAATTAACCATCTACATTAAATATAATTAAGTTATTTAAAAGTACAACCGTGAAACTTTTTCAACCATTAATTAATATCAATAAATAATTAAAAATATCCACTTTTTTCTCATAAAAATGATTTAAAAAAAGGAATTGTGGATTTCAAGTATACATTGCTTTACGTTTCAACTTAATATGCAAGAAAAATCTTTATCAAAATTTGAAATGTTATATGTAAAAAATGTCTATTTTTTTTTTAAATTGAATAAATTTTAACCAATATAAAACAGCATGAAAAATATACACATATATATTTATTTATTTTAATTAAAAAGTATAGGTATGTTTTAGTACTAATGATTTAATAATAAATAAAGAATAAACTTTTTTGATATTTATTTTAACACAGTGAAGGTTTGAATATAACAATGTTTATAAATTACAGTGTTCTTCCAAAGCATTTTTAGAATGGTGGCCCGCCTTGCCTACCCTTTGATCCCTATAAATGTGCCATCTTTGTAAAATTAAGCCGCTATCCCTTAAAACACTGCCTTTTGTTTCATATTCCAATTTTAAGAAAAATTAACTGTTCAAATAATGATAGTAGACAAAAATTATCTGTGTTTATAGGTTTCATTCTGATTACTATTACAAACATTTACTTTGTTAGGATTATTCTCAACTGGTTACATTTTTATAAGTTTCTCTTTTTTCAAGGGGTATATTAATAAATTTTTTAAAGTGATTTTAAAATTATTTTGAAATTAATACCTTTTTTTTTAAAAAAAATGCACCTTTAAATGTTCATTTTCTAATAATTTTCAGTATAAATTATAGAAAAAATCTTTTAAGCTGTTAATCAAAAAATAAATTTTTTTAGTTTACTTTCTTTTGGAAAAAAACTCATGCCTTTAATTATTATTTACAAACTACAAATTTTTCTCTTATTTAGATAATGAGTGCAAATTATTTTCTGAAATATACACATAAAATAGTATAAGATGGTAACTTAAAAATTGTTGAGGATCAAATTCAGTTGTTGCATGATATTACACATTTTGATAAATTTTTATGGTGTTATGCTTTTTCAAAACTCAAATTGTCCTTTTCTGTGAGGAAGTACCCTACCTGCCCTTTTTTNTAGAAAGGAATTAAAAAAAGTGCAAATTTAAAAACCAAAACATGTTAGATTTTTTTTTCTTCATGTACCGACACTAAGTATTTGCACTTAAAATTAAATAGAAAACAGAGTATTGACAAATTTTAAAATGATAAACACTGCAAGGAATGAAAAATCAATATGTTTAAAATAGATTAGCACTTGAAAAAATGCAAAAGTCAAGGATGGTTATAACTTCATTTGTCATTACCTGGCTACACACCTGTAACAAATTGGTAAATAGTTCTACAAACTAAATATTAAATCATAAGAAATAAAAGAATACAAAAATTTTACAGTTATAAAAACACTTCTATTTTTTTTTATATTAATGCAAAACACAAAAATTATTCTAAGATTTATAAGAATAGTTAAAAGTTAATTTAATGAATAAAAAAATAATTTCTTACAATTATACATGCTTGAAACTTTCACTGGAAATACTTAGTTTTTAAAATATAGTTGCAAGAAAACTTAAGAAACAAAGGAGAGTTTAATTTAATCAAAAATGGGAAAAGAAAAGTATAGTACTAAAATTTTACTCATTTATAATTTCTTAAAATTTTGTTATTTTTTTCTGCAAACTTTATATAGTTTTGTTGTCATAACATTCTAAAGACCCTGTATTCATTGTATACTTCAATAATATTTCAATTTAGTTTTAAAATACATTAAGTAATGGAACTACAGAACATATAATAATTTAGATTTGATTTAAAGGCAAAATCACTTACCTGAGAAGTTGCCAATCCAATATTTTTAAAAAAATTCTTCACACCCTGTAATTTAGTATCGATTGTACTAAAAAATATAAGATGTTTAACATAGTAGTATCAAAGTAATAAAGTCAGGTGATGTTAAGAATACTAACCACCTAACAGTTGTTAAATCAAGTCTCATTATAAAATTCAAGTTATTAATTTTAAACTTAATAATAAATAATACACCTTATTTCTAAGCTTTACTGTCAATTTATTAGCTTTCTATAAATAAATAAACTAACAATGCTCTAAATTCAAATAATTATAATGTAGAACAAATTTAAAAAATAAAGACTCATTCAGATAGAACATTTTTATTTAAAACCCTTTCAAACAATTATTATCTTTTTATTCTTGTTACATAAACAAGATTTTAACATATATTTTAATTTACAATCTTCATAATCTTAAATATAACATGCACAAAAAACATCATTTGTATAAATATCACACAGCAATTAAATCACACTAATATATCTTTACTATTTAGGTATGATGCCCGAGACAGAACTTAATTTTGAAATACAACACTTTTTAGATAATTCCGTGAAATAAACTCATAGTATCAAAGTGAAAAATAAGTGAAATAATTTTTTCCAACTCGGATAACAGAAACAGTTGGTTGTAGTATAATTATAAAATTAAACATTTAATTGATATTTTTTTCTAAATTTCTTCAAAAAAAAGGGGGAAGGTTATAATTAACTGTAAACAAATCAACACTCAAAATTACAAGAAAATTCTCTCAATGCAGAAAATTTAGTTTAAGGGGGATTCCTCAATTTACGAATGTCATATTTGTATATTTGTGAGCCTTAAATGCACATAACTCAAATTAAAAAAAAATTTAAGCATATCTAATAATTTTTTATTAAAACATTTCTTGGTTACACTTACTACAATTTTTATCAAATATTAAAAACTGACTGTTAAAAACATAACATATGTTATGTCTGTAACATCCCCTTTCTAATTTTTTTAAAAAAAATTTTGACTAATGAAAGTTATAAAAAGTTAGTGTAGGTGTAAGCAGAGCTTGAGTTACCTAAACAAAAATTATTAGAACTGCTGGATTTTTTTGGGTGCTTTTTAAGTCAGTAAATGTGATGCTCGTAAATTGTGGAACTAGCCTCCAGTCTCTGCAATAAACTATAATAAGTAAACAAAAATAAACACCATTAAAAAATATTTCAGGAAAGAGGCACCATAGGGCCTGATAAGAAAACTGGGATACTGGAAAATTCTACAGTTTAAAGAAGTTTTCTGCGATTAGTAGCTCAAATAGTAGACATTGGAATCTCAGAATTTATACCAATGGTAAAAGCTAATTTCAAAAATTAAAAACAACAACACATCATGACATAACTCTTTTTGCCTAAACATAAAAGATATATTTTTATCACAAAGCTGTTTTAGGAAAAAATAAATAAATACATACACTAGCAGCATATTTTTTTTTTTAAATAGGTAACTAAATTGCACATAAAATATATCACCCCTTTCCCTGTCATAGAGAATGTGTCATTATGTGTTTCTGTAGAGCTTTTGGCGAGAGAAATCTCTGAGAACAAATTGAGCAACGATGAAAAGAATGTTCTTGCCGATGAGTTAATTTATGAGTCTCACAGTTCTGTTTGGTTGTAAAACCTCTCCCACAAGATCCACATTTGTAAGGACGTTCACCGGAATGTATCAGTTGATGTCGAAGTAAATGGTATTTTCTGTCAGATGAATATGAGCAAAGGTTGCAATGAAAACGATGAACCTGATATTTGCCGTGGAAAACAAAAGAAGAATGCCATCCCCCATTAGATAATAAAGGTGAACCTGATAAAAAAG